AATAACACATTCCTCACATTCAGTGTTTTAGAAAAGTCACTGCAAATGGGTTTAAAGGTCCTAAATCTGCACAAGAGAAAACGCTCATGGACAAACGTTTTATTCTTGCAATATATCAGCAACATACATTTACAAGATTGTTGAGTCCTTATAGTTTTAAAGGTCAACACTTTCAGGATATCACAGTAAAAGAAAACTCTTTCCAGATGTCCGACGAGGGGAAAGGAGGTTAAATCTGGAGAAGTTCCTCGGTTCGTTTTGTCTGTAATCTTGATTTACGGTCCAGTGTCTTCCCCCTCTTTTGCAACTTCTCCAGCTTCCTCTCCAAATTCCACAAGCATGTTGTAATCTGTGAGTTATCCATCCTCAACATAAAGAAAGAGAAAACCCCACTAAGTGAGCAGAAACAGGTGTCACCTCCGAAACAGCCGCTTATCCGACCTCCCAGTAAGCTCAGCAGCTAAACCGCCCCCCCCCCCCCGTGAGAGGTGAGCATGACATTAAAGGAAATGATAATGGTTAATGGCGACACGCTGCACAGAGGGAAGCGAGCTGTGTCTGTAAAATAAAGGGTTTAGCAGCCTCTTGTTGTGGCGCTCTGTTTACAGAAAGGGGCTACGGCTGAGATGATCCGTGACTTTGCTCCCGGGTGATGTGGCGCGCATTCAAATGATGCTGCGCTGCTTAAAGGACAACGAGGAATAATGCAGGAGGGAAAGTTTACTGGGCTCCAGAGCAGGATGTTGCTAGCGTGTGTGTGTGTGTGTGTGTGTGTGTGTGTGTGTGTGTGTGTGTGTGTGTGTGTGTGTGTGTGTGTGTGTGTGTGTGTGTGTGTGTGTGTCCTAGCATTACTATACTTGTGGGGACCTAAATCTGTTTACACAGTCACGTGTGGGGACTCGCCTCCCTTATGGGGACAAAATGGAGATCCCCTTGAGGGGAATCATTAATTTTAGGGTGAAGACTTGGTTAGGGTTAGGGTTAGGGTTAGGCATGTGTTGGTTATGGTTAAGGTTAGGATAAGTCTCCAGGAAATGCATGTAAGTCAATGTAATGTCCCCTGAAGTGATGTATACATGGTGTGTGTGTGTGTGTGTGTGTGTGTGTGTGTGTGTGTGTGTGTGTGTGTGTGTGTGTGTGTGTGTCACTTTGTTGTTAGCAAGCTGTTAAGATGTTTCTTCTTCTTCGTCAGGTCCTGGGTGTTTACTGTTCTCAAGAAAAGACAATGTTGGCTGACTCGTGCAAACGGACAAAACTCTTACGTTAGGAGAAATGTACTGCAGCTTCAAAAACGATGTAAATATAAAAACACAAATGGGCCAAAACACATGCAAATGAAGAAACATCTTCACCAACTTCACAACACATATTTAGCTTTTAGAAAACATTCACCAACTTGAAAAAAACATGCTCAGGGTTTACAGTACTGTGTACAGAGAGCGCTGCACGAACACAACACTGTAAAACAAACCTTTTTAGTGTCTCATTGTCCGTTGTTTGTTGAGCTTCTTTGAGCTAAAAGTTGGCTAACTGTCACTGTTGGCAGAGTTAGCCTGTTTCATAATTGTAAGAGTTTTGTCAGTATATTTGAAATGACGAGGTTAGCTACGTTAGCTAGCTAGCTTACAGAAGATCTGCAATAATATAAGAAGGAAACACGGGATCACGTTTAGAAAAAAATAAGCAAAAAATCATTATGTTCTAAGTTTGCCCACCAATGTAACAGCTGACAAATCAGAGCTCCTCTTTGGGTTTGTGATTGAATACATTTTCAGGTGGCATATATTTAAATGAAGGCAAAATAAAAAACAGAGAAAACAGAAAAAACTAATTCATTTTGAGATAAAGTTTGATAGGCAAATGTTTTAGTGAATACAAAATTGAAATTAATTGAGAGGCATTTAAAATGACTTTCGCAATTACGTATTGAAATTCAATTATTGCTTTTATCATTTAAAGGCAGAATAGGAGATTATAATTATTAAACAAATAAATGAGCAAAAACTTTCTCAACCTCAACGAGAGCAAGACTGAGGTCATCTTCTTTGGACCGCAACCTCCAGCCTCTCCGGTTGATATTCTGGGCTCTATCAAAAAAAACATCCTCCCCTCGGTCATGAACCTTGGAGTGACCTTCACCAGCACTTTTAAATTCGACAAGCAGATCAGCACCGTAGTAAAATCCTGCTTTTTTAAAATAAGACTATTGGCCAAAACCAAGTCGTATTTATCTCTTAAAGACTTAGAAAGGGTTATTAACGCCTTTGTAACCTCGAGACTGGACTATTGCAACACTCTGTATGTGGGTATGGACCAGGCCTCAATTAAACGCCTGCAGCTAGTCCAAAACGCAGCTGCACGTTTGCTGACTGGCCACAAAAAGCGTGACCACATCACCCCAATTCTGGCCTCACTGCACTGGCTTCCAGTTCGGTTCAGAATTGATTTTAAAATCCTTTTATTTGTTTTTAAAGCACTAAATGGGCTGGCTCCGGCCTATATAGCCGAACTCCTCCAGCGCTACACCCCAGCCAGAGCTTTAAGGTCTGCTGACCAGCTGCTGCTGGTAGTGCCCAAGACCAGGCTAAAAACCCGAGGGCACCGAGCCTTCGCAGCAGCTGGCCCTAGGCTCTGGAACACTCTGCCCCTCCATGTGAGGTCGGCCCAGACCCTAGGGGTTTTTAAATCTACACTAAAAACACACTTCTTCTCTCTGGCCTTCTAGTTAGAGCGGAGCACGACTCCTGACTTTTCCGTGTGTTTTATTTTTATTTTGTTTTTAAGATATATCTGTTGTAATTTATTGTCGTTTATTGTGATTGTAGTAATGTGTTTTTATTACATGTACAGCACTTTGGCTCGACCAAAAATCGCTTTTAAATGTGCTATATAAATAAAACCTGATTTGATTTGATTTGATTTGAAACAACAACAATTAACTTCAACTTATTAATGCATAATTCATACATGTATAAAAGCGTCTTGTTATTCATTTGTTATAATCTGTCGTTAATAAAATGGCACACTTTGATCTCCATACCTGCAGGCTTCTTGCAGACGTACCTGCTTTTAGTTTCTGAATGCAAAGCAGCACCAACACTCATGTAGACTATTTATCATTTTCCACAGGCATTATAAAAACCTGGCCAAGTGTCACGAGCATGATGCTGTGATGAAAGCTTTTACGTCGAAACACATTAGCCTGATGTTTACCGTTAATAAAGACCTGATTTAATGGAGGTTAATTCTTGCACTGGAGGGCTGCCATCCCATCTATCACGAAGGTTTCTGGATGTCAGTGTGCAGCTTTTGGCAGAGCTGAACCAGGCGAAGGTTGTACAAGGAGGATCACCTGTAAGAGGGCTTTTTTTATTGGTGAGAGATCAAAGTGCTCACCGAGGTAATGGTAAGATCGTTGTGTAGATGGAGCCAAGAGAAACAAGCCCGTTCATTAAAGGAACTTCTGCAGGCGGACAAACACATGGGGGTGCATACTGATTATTTCATGGATCATAACACTGAAAAATAAAACTAAATCTGGTCAATGCTAACGATAGACACAAAGTAATGAATCTTTTTGCTACTTGATATTGCCTTAAACAACAAGACTTAATGAGTACAGCCCTGCTTATCTGTGGCTCCACTTTGGCACAGAGGTGCTTTGTGCTAAATGTCATTATTATAGCGTGCTAAAAAAAATTGTTTTGTTTTGTATAACACGCGTAATGTTTAACATGCTCACAGTCTTAGCTTAGTGTGTTTGCATGCTAACACTGGCTACTTAGCACTTAGGTATAGTCAGTTTTGCAGGTACATGGTCACTCATTATAAACACCATTAGGATATATCCTCTGGGGACCATTGCGTGATGGGCTGTTGGTGTAATAAACACATGGTTAGCGTTGCTTATAAAAGAAATCAAGACAAAAATGCAACCCAACTACTAAGATAAGTTTAGTAAAGGATCATGTATCTCATTACAGAAAATACGTATGTTTGAAATGTCATTTATGTTAAGGATGTAATATTTTAAATGTCAATGTTGACATTACACGGGACACAAACGCTCTTCATTATGCAAACACTAAATCCAATTCAACAGTATGCAGTTGAGGCCCTAGTCAAACTTACTTTACCCTATCATGTAACTGTGCTTTTGGGCAACAACAGCATCAAAGAATCATTCTAATAGACTTAAGAGATGAAGCTCAGATTCACATTCACAAACTGACTGACATGTACTGCAGTAAAGTAAAGGGGCACTATGTATGTTCCACATTTGAGCAGAATTTGAAGAGGATCAAAACAGTTGAAAAAACATCCTGTATATCCCCGCCTGTGAGTGCCAAACAGCCTCACTAATGCAAACCCCGGTGTGTTTCCTCAGTGCAGCTTAAGCAAAATCTCTGATGGTTGAATCTGTCCAAGGCATGATGACACCGTTTTCTGACTGCACAACCCTCTCTAAAGTTATCTCTCTTATTCAAATACTACAAAGTCAATAACGGATACAAAGTCAAGATGTGCCAAAGGGATTTCTCTGAGTCTACTTCTTGTCATCAGATCAGTTTCTCCCAACACCGGTAGGCTTTAATGCATTAATGGTGTTATGTTAGGCTGTCACCTTTGACCCCCTCTGAACAAAAACAGTAGCAGTGAGCGGCTCAGCAGATCCCCTGTGAGGGACAATGGGAACAAAGCTGGACTTAATAACAGGAAACAGTGATGTTCAGGGAGATTACCTCAGTGTGTTTATCAGATCACTTACACAGGTTGGTGCAGAAAAGCCAGTTACGATTGTGCCACAGCTTAATGTGGTTTCAGGTCACTTGTTATCTTTTTTGTGTCCATAAACCCCTCTGTTGGACTCAGAAGAAGACATCAGCTGCCAGACCTGACAGATATGACATTTGTCAAGACTCTCTTCTGCTTAATTAAACACTTGTTTGATCCCGGTTTAAAGCCAGGGTCGAGGAATGAAAAGGTAAAACAGACACAAGTTGTAATAAGGATGGAACAGCCTTCCGTTTTATTCTAAATTTGATATGTACAGGAAAAAAGTGGCTGCATACATTTCTTAATATATCATGTAAAAGTTCGCACAAACAATTGCACATCATCAGCTTGAGCACATTTTCTTTTTATACTTTAAAACACATCATGTTACAGCATGGTTGAAGGCAATGTCAAACGGGATACAAATACACTGATAACCGCTCGTAAAGTGTTGGCTCTGGTACATAAAATTAAAAAAAAGCTTCAGGAAGGAGTACCCCATCGAATGACACATTATCATATGATATTAAAAATGTCTAAAAATCACACTGTCGTGTCACTGACAAACAAATCACATCGTGTCCCTCTTTGTGTAAAATATCGTGATATATATCAGGCACTTATCGATATCACACCCCGTGGTTTATGACGTTTTGAGCAAAGGTTGGAAAAAAATCCTTCGAAAGGTGCTTCTCTGCGATCGAGACGCCCCTAGTGTTCACAGCACTTTTTCTGAGTGGAGATATGTTTTACCCTCAACTACACTGCTTTTATTATTTGGTTACAGTTTTCATCAGCCCCATATTGCGTTTGTGTCATCTTACCTAAAAACATACATATGCAGAAGCTTATAACAGAGTAGATTTGTGAACGTTAAAATACAGGTTTAAACACCGGAAAATGCCATTAAGGTAATTTCTTCTTCATCTTCTTACTTTCATTTAGTACCCCTACTCAGCCTGTAGCTTTCCCAGCAAGGGGCTTCATTAACCAATGGGAGATAATGCATGTCATGCGGCTTCGCTCTGCATATGGAGTGTGTAGGAGTGAAGGGCAATTACACACCGCCTGTTTGTTTTCCACAGCTCGATGATGGCCGTCTTTTTTTTGTTTTGTATTTCCCTTTTGTTTTAAGTTTCACCTCAGCTCGATCTCATTTGTCTGCTCACAGGCAGAGAGAATAATGTCACAAACATTAGGGACATCAATGCGAGGAAGGTTCAGACTCAGAGAATCGCTTGCCACCTACTGCAACAATTAAAGTGGTGGGATGGTGGCAGGGATTTTAAAGCGCGTGTCATCAATTCCCATGTTTATTTCCCCTGAATTAAAACTACAGCACACAGTGGGCTATCATGAATCAGAATTAAAAAGTAATCGGTTTAATAGGTTCACCCAAATAACAGAAATTGTCTCTTAGAAATGTCCTGTTTTAGGCCCAGTCAAAACAGCATTTATCACATTTTCCAGGCAATTAAATCTGTGTGAAACTTTGGCACCGCAGGTTGAGCTATTACCACGCAATTCTTTTTAAATGGTGGAAGCTAATTATGCTACCTGACAAAGGTAACTGACCGCTGACTGACAGTTAGCAAGCTAGCCAATTCAGAGAGCTATTGTGACCGCTAGCAATGTTCTGGCGGGCGAATTAGCCCTTCAATTAAGTTACTAAATCTCGGTTTTAGGTTGACACGCGGCGAAAAAAAACATAGGTAGGATTCTAATCTTTATTGCCTTCCATTCTTTCTTTTAAAATGTCTGGAAGAAAGCAGTTCTAGTCATTTTTGGGAGAAGAGTGTCGGCTAAATGCTTAAAAAGGTAAAAATACAGAAAGCAATTACAGCAATTGAACGCAATTAACTCCTGAGGACAATTTCACTACCCTTTTGTTGAAAAACAGGAGAAAAGCTCCAGCTAATCTCACACAGGCAGGCTTATTGTCTCGCTACCCATCTTTATTCTGGATTTCTTTTTTTTGCCGCTGCTTATATTCCTCCCTTTATGTCAGAAGCCGGGCCCTCTGTCGGTTCCTCTGGTGGCAGCGCTCGCTGGCTCTGGCAGGCAGCAGGTGGCTTGTGATGAAAAATTCAGTGCAGAGCCTGACTCGGGAGACGTGGGGAGGAGGAGGGTGGTGGGAGGGAGGGAGGAAGGGGGAGGGGACGGGTGATATGAGAGGAAGGTGGGGAATGAGCGAAAGAGGAGAGGAGGATAAAGGTGGGGGTGTTGAGGTAGAAGAAAGGTAACAAACCGAGAGGCGACAAGAGGAGGAAAGGGAGCCAGAGATCCAGACAGACAGGCAGGCGGGCCAGCAAGCAAGCCCAGAGCGGAGCAGGGGGGCCAGGCAGAGGATCAGAGCTGTCTACCCTCAGCCTGGGTCTTCTCCACGGAGATAACACACGGTACTGTATGAATCATTTATGAGGGGGGCTTTTTATTAATAACACACACACACACACATACTGTGCCCTCCTTTTTTCATACACTTTGCCTTGTTTTCTCTTCTCCCCGGGGACCACTCGAGTGAGAGATGCTCGATCGCTGAGGAGTCGAGAAAACCGAATGTGGAGGAAAGGTATCGGTGGGGGTTGAACGTTAAAAGAAATGAATGGGAAATGATTTGTGACCGACAGGACGAGTCATCCAACGACGCACGGTCTTGATGGTGAAACATGTAAGTTGTCACATGCCCACACATAAACCCACAGAAGGTAACGCCTCCCCATGGGCTCATAAGAACGCCCACTCCCTCGCCTGTCGGCCCATTTGATTGTCAGAACACGGTGGTGCCAGACCTTGATGAATCAGAGTCCTGGACAAATGTGAACATGCATCGTGTTTGTGAATGCAGAGAAGGCACTGAGCGTCTGCAGGAGGCTGACTGACTGACTGACGGGTTTAGGTCATCGGCACAGTGAGGGATTTAACACGAACACCCACATACTGAGCACACTTCACATCTGTATACCTCTAAGATCATCGCTAGGCTATAAGACCTCTAGGTTGCCCCTTTTTGTAGCTGCTGTTTCTTCAAGGTAATCCCCTTAGCTCCTGTAGCAAGTTCTCTGATCAGCATTTTGTCCATTAGTCCAAGAATACTCCTCAAGAATAAAAAAGTCTTCCTTTTTCAGAACCGATTCTATTAAGCCTTGCTAACTGCGAAGGTGAGGGCGGCACGTCATGGCGGTACGGACCCTTGGGGGAGGCTGGGTCCTTCAGGTGTGCTGAGGGGTATCCTTCATAGCTGCTGCTAACGATGCTCTCCTGCATTAACTTCCCTTTGGCTTCCTGCTCTCGCCGCCTCTGTTCTTGCCTCAGGAGCTCCTGGGCCTCCAGAAGGACTCGCGCGTTGACAGCACCGCCTCCAGGGTAGCCGTTCCTGGATCCCTGGTAGCTCGAGTACCGCGGGTTATCCTTTGCCGTCTGGAAGACTTCGCCAGGAGGGTAGGCTTTGTCCCACGAGTCCTGGGAGACGGTGCTGGGGTTCTTCCTGGGTTGCCTGGTGTGGAAAGAGGGAGCAAGAGAGGAAAATGTCAGATGTGGTTTGTCTTTTTCGGTGTTATATGACTCCTTGAACCCCTAACCCTAATACGGGCCAGTGTGTAGTGAAGACGCTTACATTTCATTAAGCCAACACTCATCCAAAACAAGTAACAATTAATGCAATCAACCATAAATATACCAACTTAGAACATTAAGAAACATGTAGGCATATTTGCTTTTTTTCAAATGGGCTAAACCCTTTGCGCACATTTAAAAAACATTTGTGTTGGGTTTAATGGCCATGGTACAAGTGCGTTTTCAGTCTGTGACGGAAAATGTGTAGCCTTCCTGCTGTCCTTATATCAATGGAGAGCTTGTTCAACCATTTTGAACCCTCTTTGCCACATATTGTCCTCCGGTCTGGTAGGAACAATCTCACCACCAACAAAAATATTAGTTTAAAGACCATTACCTCTTGGGATAAGCCTTTGTTTTTGTACTTCTGCTGAAACGTGATTATACTGTCAGCCATATGGTAGCCAAGAATCACATTTAATATAAGTAAGACACCATTACAGCCTCACAAAGCGCCTCTGGGCAAGTATCAGCCCACGGTAAAAAGATACAGGAATAGCTAACCATGTCAAAGTCCCCTTCCAGCCCATTAGCTCCATTTCGAGACAGACGGAAACAGCCATCGGATCTGACAGATAGTAACTGCAGGCCCTCCGCAGGTGGATAAATGAGGCGACCATCTTGTCCGCTTTGGATTGGGTATAGAATTCGATATATGACGGCTGACACTTGTCTTAAAGGCACGGTTGGTTGTTATGCTTCAGAGGACCTGCCCTGCCCTTTACCAGAAAAAAAATGTGTGACATCACCTCTCATTTCTGCTTGGCTAGCCTCTTTGTGGCAGCGCTGCCTTTGTGTATGAGTGTGTAGTAGTTTGTAAGTGTGTGTGAGTCCATACGATATGCATGAGTGTCCCAAGCCCCACAGCTCCACCCATTTATCTCGAGGGCATGGCAAAAGGAGAGCAGCGAGAGAAGAAGAAGACACACAAAAACATCAATTGGCTTTTGACTCGGAGCCATGCATAATTAGCAGGTTTATCAGCCAGCTGTGAAGAAATCGTATCATTCTTGTGTTTGGATTAGAGTAGGAAGGAGAGAAAGAAAAACCCTTAATGAGAATATAAAAGGCCTTTGTTTTTATTCAACTGAAAGTGAATGCAATTGGGAATGGATACGCTTCCCGATCGGTGAGATAGGAGAATATAGCCCAGGTTTATTCTTGCACACGGTTGACTGATTCCAATTTTCAGAGACAGGCGTCCTCGGCATCTGATTTCATTTCATATGTTGACAAAGAGGCCAAAGCTGGTGTGCCTCCCTGCTGAGAAATGCAAACCAGATCACTCCCTCTGTCTGATGCCGTGCCAAGGGGGGGAGCATGTACATGTGTGTTAAATGCAGAAAGATGTACACGGCTCTGTATTCTGTGAAGCGTGACAGATGATAAAACAGAAAAGGGGGGAAAGGTGACGGAGTGAGATTGAGGGGAAAAAGGGAGACTTTGTGAGAGGTTGCAGTGCAGGGCATATAGACATGTGGTTGTGACATGCATGCATGTGAGAGGAAATGCCACTGCAGCTGTTGAAGTCAACCTCTGGTCGCCATAGTGACATTACTTTGGCTCTGAGATCAATGGCGCTCGTCGGTGATGGATCTGAAGGCCCTTCATCCGGCCGTCAGTGTTTTAAATGGCAGTGGTTTATATTCACTCAGCTCCTTGTTTAGGAAAAGGGTCTCACCCAGAAGGAAACTGACCTTTATCTAAAATGAAAGCTGTTTTTAAGGAATGTAATGGCGTGTTTCCACTACAGCGCGGAGCACGGTTTAAGAGGGCTGTGACGTCAGCGGCCCGTCTTTGGTTGCGTTTCCACTTGGCCTAGTACCGGCCGGCGGGTCCTAATTCACAGTTTTTCTGGCCTCATAAAATCGTGGGTCTAGGGCCAGAGACAACGAGGCTGAGTCGGGCTGAGTATGCTAAACTAGAGAGAGAATCGCTGGCAAGGGGGCTACAACTACAACAAGATGGACATATTTGACCGTGATTTAAATGTAATACACGTTTCAAAATGATGCCGAAGTAACAACATACTGATACCGGTTAGTAAAAACCATGAATTAATGCTTTGACAAGTCTGCAGACAGACGGCAGGCGAAAAACCTTTTAAAATGCGTGTTTTCTAAATGGAGATTGGCTAAGCTAACGCAGTATATGCTCCGACCGTCCACACTCACAACAACGGCCTATACAGACATAAATAAAGCAGCGACTGTATTCACCATGACACAGGCAGTCTGTGGTTTGTACTTGTTTAACTTTTGTCTAGTTTCTGAACATATATGAGGAGCTGTGAGCTCTGAGTGCTAACAGCTAACGGCTGTGTTGTTTTTCTGGGGTTCTCATTGAAGATTACGTCACGGCTCCGCCTACACTGATACTACCCCAGTTCCTAAACTGTAATGGAAATGCGCCATAAAGTGAGCCAGTCCTAACGAGGCCTAGCCATACCGAGCGAGGCCGAGCGAGGCCGTGTAGTGGAAACGCGCCATTACAGCCATAAATCACGTCTCCATTCACAACCCACTCATGAAGAACACCGCCCTGCATGAACAACATATGAATCCCATCAAGCCTGTGATCCGCTAAACGCCATATTTACTCTCTCCCAGTCTCTGATTTCACTCAATGGTATGCTCTAAGTCAAACAATAGTTAGTGTTCTCAAGATAGTACAGCGGGGGTTATCCAAACAGAACAGTCTCTTAATGGAATTAGCGGCAGAGTGAAGGAACGTGGCCACAGGATGTTGCTTCTGACCGCTGGAGCGAGACCGGAGTTCATTAATCTTTCAGCAAAGCTGCCTGCAATATTTATCAAGGAAGGGATTCACGTCGATAACAGAGGCTTAGGAGTAAGATGGTGAAGTCATAGTAGATACAGTTTCGAATGTTGTATATGTATTGTGAGTGCAAGTTGATGATGTGCACCAGGACACGTCTGCTTGGTTTGACTGTGGAGGGTGTTTGAGGATTTCAAAGAGTAATTACTGACGGCTTAGGGAAACATAATAACTTTGATTAACATTTCCCCCTGGACAGTTCCTTCCTGAGCTGACGAAATAATAACAAATATATCTTCTTCTGGACCCTGAGGAAAACAAGTGTGCCTTAAAGGGGCCTTTTTATGCTCATTTTCAGGTTCATATTAGTATTTAGTGTCTCTCCTGTGACATGTCTCCATGCTTTAATGTTCAAAAAGCTCTTTATTTTTCTCATACTTGTGTTTCATTATTGATATGAACTTTAAGGCTAATGTAGACGTGGGGACCTATTGATACTGGGCGTTGCACTCCCCATACATACTGACATTACTCATAGTTAAACTAGTCAGAAGTTTCTTGGTAAGCATGCTTGATGAAACCGAGTAACTCATTAGCAAACACTAGAGAGGATAGTCTGTTTCATCTTGACATTTTGTGTTAAAGTTCACAGTAAAATTACATTTTGAGAGTGTTCCATCTAAAGTGGAAGAAAGTATTTTGAACATTTTCACAAGTGGGACTTTTAAGTTTGGATTTGATGTTCCTATATAGTTTTTCTTTAATGTATTTTACATCATGTGGGTGTCAGATCATGTAGAGTCAGGTTGTGTCTATTGTCTTTGAAAGCATACATCAAAGGTTCACTCTGGAAGTTAAATAGTTCACATCTAAACATAAACTGACGAAAAAGAATAGACTTTGAGGCATAATCTAAGCCATATGTTCATCATCCAAAATGTCCCCATATCTCCAATAAGTCCCTTCCTGTACCCTCTACCCCTCACCACACACACACACACACACACCCCGGCACTTCCTGGAACAACAGGCAGTCATATCACGCAGATCAAAGGGAATTACATTAAGGGAGAGGAAAGCAATCATGTCAGATCTGTGTGAGAGGGTAACATGATCCGTGGCTGAGTGTGTGTGTGTGTGTGTAACAGTGTGTGTGTATAGGTGTGTGGTTTGAAATTAACCAGCTGTGACCCTCTTTCTTACTCGAATATAATCTGCTTTCATGACTGTAATAAGCCACAGTGAATGTGACATAATCAGACAGGCGTGCACAGGCGTGAGCGTACACACCAACCACTTCTTGAGATACATTACGTTAAATCACAGATCTAAAATAGATACAAACACAGTCACAACCTCCTGGACACATCTCAGGAACACGAGAACACACACATCTCCTATAGCAGCACATATTGATTGTAAGACAGACAGAAACAAACATGTTGGGAAAATACTGAATGCACTCTTCCAATATCAGAGTCCACATGATAACAAAGGTATCCCAACTGTAGCTGTGTACATGACAGGATGTATGATTACCTAGAAGAGCATCAGGACTGTTTGAGGCATATGATAGCTATGTGATTAACATGATGATTCAGCCTCTATGGAGATAGACATATGACAAGCATGATCATTTCTGACGTGGAGCTAATCTGAAGTAAACATTGAATACTGCTTTCTATTCCTCCATCTTGTGACTGTGTAACTCCCTCTCTTGGATATCAGCATGTGAAGGACACTGTTCAGGAACTAGTTGATGCTCTGTATGTGATGACTACTTCCATTCTGGAGAGGATCAGAAAGACATGGATCCGGAGATTGAAGCTCAAGCCAGTGACGAGTGATTAGTAACAATTTTAAGTATTCAGAAATTCAGAATTTTGAGATTTTGAGAAAAAGGCCGAATTTTGTGAAAAAGTCAGAATTTTTTGAAAGTCTGAATTTTGAGAGAAAGTCTGAATTTAGATTTTTTTTAGAGAAAGTCAGAATTTTTTGAAATTTTGAGAGAAAGTCCGAATTTTGAGAGAAAGTCCGAATTTTGAGGAAGTCAGAATTTTGAGAGAAAGTCAGAAATGTTTGATTTTCAGAAAAAAAGTCAACATTTTGAGAAAAACTCAGTATTTTGTACATGACAGGATGTATGATTACCTACAAGACCCGATTGAAGCTCAAGCCGGTGACGAGTGATATTTCTCTAACAAAACACATGAAGCCTGTCTTACTCTGAGTCCGTCTTTCTTACCGTGGCAGGGAGCTGTACTGTCTCTGCGCCTGGGCGAACGAGTCTCTCTCCTCCTGTCTCTGCCTCTGCATCTGGACCTCCACGGACACCGAGTGGCGCCCCGGCTGGCTGTACCCGCCCTGCCCGTTACTGCTGGCGTTCGTCTGAAAACAGAAAGACAGCAGCTCCGTTAACTCTGATGTCACGTCCTGATCATCATCGTATCATCTAACTCTTGTGTTGCAATAGTCCTGGTTATTTCAACTACTTTCCCATTTGATGTACCTTAAGGATACTGATATCTATAGTATCAACGTAGTTAAAAATAGGTAATTCTTAAAAGGGTTGGAAGCATAATCCAAAAACCTAACGTTTTCACTGGAACTACTTTCTTCCTAAGAAGTAGTCCCAGTCCCAGAAAAAACTGTTTACAGTAAAGTCTGCGGGAAAGACATGTCTCTTGTGACTAGATGCAAGAATACAAATCTGTTTTCTTTGTCATTTGGCTGAACTGACCCTTTAATCACGGCCTTATTGTGGCTTTAAGAGCAACATCACCATCTGAAGTTATGGAACTATTTCGTCATCTTGTAGATAGTCCCATAACACTTGGTTTAATATAAATACATCCAATAATAAACATTTGTTCTTTGGGTGAAGACGACTGTTCTCTGGTAAAGCTTAAATAGCTCTTAATAATTGTTTGACCACTCCAGTCATGGTGATTTTCATCCTGTGTTGTGCCTCAATTGAAGCATCTTGTGGTTATTTGATCAAATACTTACATTGAAGCGTTTAATCAAGATCAGATATGAGATTTTGGAGACATGTATTCAGTCGAACCAGGAAATTAAAACCGTATAAACAATACGAAAAGCTTATCTCTGCCTGCACATAATGCCTTAAAGTCTTATACCCAGGGTTCATACACTTTTTCACCAATGATTTTCAATGACTTCTCCAGGACCTTTACCTAATTTTCCATGACCAAAACATTACTCTTTTTCAGCGGTACCACTGAAAATGGTTTATTTTAACATGGAACAGGAAAATAAGGTCTGAAACATGTTGTGCCTATCTAAAACAAATCCAATAGGCTTACTAGCTTCTACAGGCCAAAGCAACTAAAATCTCTCACCAGCAAAATACCTCGTCAGTTAAATGCCATTTTACGTTTTATTACTATACGATACACTATGTATTATCATTATAGTATTACTATTTTGGCAATTAGATCAAATATAAATTATATTTGATGCAACTTTAGTTACATTTCCATGACTTTTCCAAAACTTTGCGAAAAATATTGTTTTCCATAACTTTTCCAGGGCCTGGAATTTGCATTTTGAATTTCCATGACTTTTCCAGGTTTTTAATGACCGTAAGAACCCTGTATACCATACTGTTTATATTTTGTTTACTGTAAATTGGTATTTCAACATGTATATATTCTACTTTTTACAGTATATTGCTGTTTTATTTCTATTTTGAGATGTTTACATTTTAGAATTGTTTATTTTTTCTACTCTTAATTTCTCTTATGTGCAATGCCTTGTTTTTATGTTGCTGCAACGCAAACATTTCCCGAATTGGGATCAACAAAGTACATCTCATCTCATCTTACTGTGAAGTGGAGATTTGTTTCTGATGAACAAATAAATGTCTTGAATGTTGGACTTACAGTAGTACGTATGAACGAACTATTGAAAAGGGTCACAGCTTTTAACCGAGTAATCACGTCTATAAAATGAACACATGATCCCTCGTTTCAAATTGAAGGCATGAAAATCACCACAACTGGAGTCAGAGTTTCCACACAGTAGCCCAATAAAAGTAGCAGCCGTCCCCGACATCAGATACCTCACAAAATCTTCCACTATCCCCCCTCCCAGTCCAAACCACAGACACTTACCAGCAGCCAGTGGGGCAGACACACCCTGAGCTCGTCTCCTCAGGTCAGTATGAAGGTGAGACAGAGAGACAGACAGACAGACACGCAGACAGGGTTCATGCTGGAGACTCATAGCAGGGGGAGTGATGAGATGAGGTGGATATTAGTGGCTGTTAATGAAGGAGACAACAACCTGTGCACAATGTGACAACCCTCCCCAACACAGCAATATAAAACACTTCCTGTACAGGCTGTTAGGTTATAGTAGGCACGGCAATCACCATATATTATTATTTTTGTACATGTTTTTGGCTGAAGATTTGATCTTAAGTGAATTACATACAATTAACAATTTTGGGTAAAGCATCTTGCCCAAGGACACTTCTACTGTATATGTTAATAGCAGGGGGGTTGGGCATTGAACCGTTGATCCTCTGATTGGTAGATGAATATTTACCGCCTGCGCAACAGTTGCAGGCGTTGAAATGTACATTTGTAAGTATCTGCAACCTTGTATTGATTTGAATGATTGTGTTTTGACTGTATGTTCCACAAGCCATTCATCAAAACAGACAACACACAGACGCATGTTCGTATTTCTACATTGTGAGGATTTATGAAAAGCATTCCCTTGCCCCCGAGGGTTTCACTATCTAGTTTGTACAATGTTTGCACAACCATGTTTAAAAGCAAAATAGTTTAACACATGTTTCTAATAACCACACTTATTGCCTCTGTTATTGGCCTCCCTTGGCTGCATCCTATATTTGACACCATTTCTTATCTCAGCGCTCTCTGCTCAGATATTGGATACACTTTCAATCACTTACTCCTTAAAAGGCACTCATAGTGACGCAGTTGGATTGACATATGGATAGAAATGGAAAGTAGTAGAAAAACCTTTGATAGTAGTTTAAATCTCGCCTACTTTCCTGCATCACACGTCGATATTGCAAACTGCCGGGATTGATAGAATGTCTGTTTTAAAAAAAGTTGGACGCTATCCAATGCCAACAAATTGGGAAGTTGAAAAGACATTGGAAAAGCTTTCTGACGCTGTTTAAACAGATTGATAACACTTTGTTTGAAGCATATTCACCCTCCATACTTACATTTTTATAATTGTATCAACCTGCCTTACCAAAGCCCTTAGACCAGGGGTGTCAAACTCAATTTTATCTCGGGCTACATTAGCATCATGGTTGCACTCAAAGGGCCAGTTTTATATATAAGACTATATAAAAATACATATATATATATAAAATAATATTGGATTATAATCGGATAGGGTTATAACTTCATAATTAACTACGTCTGAAAGCAGAAGTCTAGGGCAAATAATTGCAAGTCTCTTCAGTGAGAATGTCACAAAATGATTTCAAAAGAAAAGCCAAATTCTGGAAAAAAAGTCCCAACAAAAAGAAAAAGTGACATTTTGAAGAAAAAAGTAAAGTTTGGGGAAAAAAAGTAAAATTTTGAAAAAAAAAAAGTTAAACTTTGAAAAAAAAGTAAAATTTTGAAGAAAAAAGTAAAATTTTGAAAAAAAAGCAGATTCTGAGAAAAAATGAATATTTTGATGGAAAAAGAGTCAAATTCGGAGAAACAAGTCAAATTCTGAGTAAACATGTAGATGCATTGTGGGACATGTAGTTTATGGGCAACGTGCTTCTGTAAATCGGCATGTATAATAAATATATTATATTATTTCAGAGCTCTTGTGGGGCCACATAAAATGAAGTCACGGGCCTGATTTGGCCCCCGGGCCTTGAGTTTGACACCCCTGCCTTATGATAAGGATAAGTCAAAACTTTGTCAAAATAAGAGTCTAAAAGTGGTCCTATTGGATGGATAGATGTATAAGAAGTGCACACACACCTTCGATACACACTCGTATCTCTCCCAGTAGCAGAGCACCACCTCAGGGTCCAGCACACACTTTACCACAACTCCTTCCGCTCCTCCAATGTTCATTAGCGGTGTGGGTGCAATAATTGTGTGCGGATCAGTTGTAACACAAAGCCAATCTAATTACTTTTATGGCTGTGAACCGTATTGAGATCCTGGTGGGAGCGCTGTGCACGTCAGTCTGTGGGAAGGCCATAAAACGATTAAGAGTGCTAAAGAGACATTTCTCCTTTTAACCAAATGAAGCCGGGGCAATCATCTCTGGGGTTGATTGGCACTGCCTGGCTGCTCCGGGGACAATAAGGACAGGCTGGCAGACAACCAATAGGGAGGGGCGAGCCCGTGGGTAAATTACTGCCCCAATATCTTTTCACAAGTGTTGAATATTCCTAGGAAAATGGGCTCTTCTGCCAGAACACAGTGACTGTAGAGGGGAGAAATGCCCTTAAGGAATACAGATAATAGCAGCATTAAAATGTTGCAGTAAAATACAAGAGGCAATATTATGCCCTTTCTAAACCCCCGACATCAAGTGAATGAACTCCTCTACTCCCATAGTGGTATAAATGAGTGCAATAAAGCTGGAGCGCTGCAGCCGGAGAGCGTCCATCAGTCATCCTGATGGAATTAGACCGTGCTACCCACAATCCTCCACTGCTACCAAAACTATGGAGGAAAAGGCAGAAGAGGGCTTCCTTTGAGAAAGTATAGATATCTTTCTGATGAATGTTTAATGTGGGTAAATAGTGTTAAAGGTTTTTTTTGCTTTCCTGTAGTGTGTTATATAGGTTTTTGTGCATGTCAATGGTCTGCAAAGGCTAAAATCCCAAAGTTCACACAGTGATAATGACATCACTATGTAACACATGCTTCTATTGGCTAGCGCTCCAATACATTGTACGTGATAGGCTAAAGGGGCGGGATATCTCTAAGTGGTTGACCAATCACAACAGAGCTGGCCAGCTAACCAATCAGAGCAGGCTGGGCTCTGGTTTCAGACAGAGGGTGAAAAGAGGTGCTGCAGCACTTCTTTTTTGAACATTAAAGCATGGAGACACTACGTACTGATATGAACCTGAACGTTAGCAGAATAGGGCCCCTTTAACATCTGAGAATCTCGATCCATGATGATTTTTGGCTTTAAAATCCAATCATAATCAAAAACAATGTCCATTACTTGATTTTCAATTAAACTAAATGACCATTTGTACAATTGTTACAGCTCTAAAATACATTTTATCCTCAATAAAACGACTATTTGATTTATTTGACGTCTGCTTGTATCATTGAACCATTCTTCTGTGGTATAAAAGCAGCCTGCCGTCTCTCATAAGCAGCGCTCTCCTGGCAATGACTGTAAGTGGGGCAGTTGTAGGTGAATTATGAAAAGGACACGGGCTCCTTGAGGTTTGCAGCACATCACAGAGATGAAGCAACAGCATGTAATAAATGCATGGGGAAGGTAATTGAATTTCAAAGACACATTCTGCTGTTTTCCATATGGCCCACCAGTATGACCGGGGCATGAGTCTAATAACGTGTAATTACCATAGAGAGCCTGAGTGTGAGCTGCACTCTGAAGTAAAAGGGGCTTTAGAGAGACTTCCAGAGGGTTCCTCACATGCAAAGCAGTGTGGAGGCACAGAGGGTTCATGGGAAATATCATGTTATAGGAGTCGAACACTTACATATCATGAAGTAATCTATAGGACTACATATCAGGGAGTAAATACAAAAACATACATTGGATATCAAGACTGTTTTGTACGTACTTTGGTAGAAAACATGACAAATGTTAAGATGAAATGCTTGGTCTAATTTGCAGACTTGTTTGCTTATTCTTTGATTGGAAAGCTATTAATTTAAATCATATTGTTGTTGGAAACCATTTGACATATTAACAATTTGGTTTTGTGGAAACAAGATTATAATCCTAAAACAAATAAATACATATATCAGGGTATATGCAGGAATCCTGAAGTCAAATGTAAGACCTTTTTTAAGACCCTTTCCATACATTTTAAGACCTCATCGCCACTTTGAGTTCTAACCGGTTACATTGGCGACACACTTTACCTCACATTTACTATATACAGTATTGATTGTCCTTCCTCCTTATCTTCCAACCATTTGGACGCAGACTTGCATTTCCCCATAACGATGTTGCTTAACAACCGGCGTAAACGGACCTTCGCGCGCTATCAAGCAGTGAGCGCGCGATGTCCTGTTCAGATGACGTCAAACCCAACGGGATGCCATAAATAAACTACACAGAATCACACTACACACCTACGCAATGATTACATTCAGGCAGACTGTAGAATACAACCTCTTTGGACAATTTATATACTTATTGGAAACAAGCTACGAAATGTAATACCTTGGAAAATGCCCTTTAATACTTTTTAATAGCCTTCATTTTCGCTAAATTGATTTTTAATACTTTTAATACTTTTTAAGACCCCGCGGATTTGTTGTATGTGCAATAATGGAACATTTATAAAATATAGTCAAATATCTCGTTAAACATAATACAATAAGTGCTTATTTCTTACTTCTCCCTTTTCCAACAAGGTACACCAAATGAAAAAAGAGCAGTGAAAATAATGGTTCAAACCAATAAACGAGCAAAAGTGTATGAATGTAATATATGTCGACCTAGAATGCATGCAGTAGGACGCTGAACAACTGCTTTCAGGGACTTCCACACATGTAGTTGAGCTTTTTCATTCAATAATGAGCCCTGACATGTTTAAAGCTCTTTGGTCTCCAGTGGGATCCCTAACTCTGTCTCACAGTGTGGGTTTCCTAGTACTGAGCGTTCATGGGAAAAAGCGACAGTAGCGGATGTAAACAAACATAATGCTGCAGTATTGTTGAGTTCTCTAATTGAGAGCACGCTTGGTTGATGAGAGACAAAAGCAAGAGGACGACCTGCGCTCTTCTTTCCCACACTGTTCTGCTTTTACGACACAATGCCAGCTGGAATGTGTGTGTGGAGCCCATTCAAACGCATCACTCTGGTTTCATACTGCCCAATGCAAAACAAAAATATACATTTTTATTGGATTCGTCACCTTTAAAAGAAAGGCCAGAGCACAGATGATTTGATTCGTGAGCTCTCACATTATCATTTCATTTATAAATCGTAGGATCAAATTCTCCCATTGCACACCAAAGCTACAGTGGGGGACAGTTTGGTGTGGATACAGAGATATACAAAAACACAAGGGTGATCAAAATGACCTTGTATAGAGAAAAAAAAAACACAAGGACAATTCATAAGAGAGGACATACATGCTGTCTAGTTTTGGACAACACACATTTCTGCCTGTTGTCACCAGAGCGTATGAATCATAGCAATATGTATTGTGACATAATGTGTTTGTGTGTGAAATCAACAAAGATATGTGTGGTCCCAAACTAGATGAAGACAGGTGGTGAAAATGACTCATAATTATGTGTAAAACAATAATATAATACAAAATGACACAGAGATGCTACCAGTTGGAAAAGTGTCATAAAAACACCTGTCTTTAAGGTTTAAAAATTGATCGTTCATCATTTGTTATTCCAAAAAATGCTGTAAAACCAAGTACACTTGAGTTGGGTGCAAGGAAGCAGGGAGAGACAAAATAAATACTGAAAAGCGATTTCATCACCCCCAAAAAAAACGTTGAAGGCAGTCAGGTTTTGTTCGCTTGTAATCACCTTCAGAATGCACTAATTATGCCTCTTCTTAGGCTGTGAATTAAATAGTAAAAATGTACCTAAATGTGTAAAAAGGCACAGTTAAAACAAAGGGTTTACACATGAGACCCCCCCCCCCCATGCACAGAAACAATGTGACGACACACCCCACAGAAGTCCATGAGTTGCTGTGTGGATGACGGACAGACAGAAACAACGACGATGGATGAGTAGAGGTGGGTGTGACAGGTGGGGGGGGCGGGGGGTTAGTGAGGTGTGCAAACTCCTGCATGCAGGGGGTGGGGGGGTGTTAGCATTAGCCCGATTAGCCATGAAGGCCGATGGAGGTTAACCCTATAGTGGGGATAGGGTGATTTCATCAGTCTTGTTCATGGCTGGTAGTAGTGTTGTTAGTGACGTTTAGCACCATACTCCAGAAATGTTTGGTGGGAGGCATTGGAGGTAACACGTGCAGAGTCTTGGTCTGGAAGAGGTGGTTTTTCTTGAGTTTTACAGTCCAGCCATTTTCCGGGGCTGGGATTGGACTGGATTTCGTCTTTTTTCAGACACTCACCCAGGGCTGCTCGAAGCTGTAGGTCCTCCTGCGGTCGTCCGGGTCGTCGGGCACGGTCTGGGCCTGCTGGAACTCCTGCCGCAGCTGCTGTATCCGGTCGTGGTTGCTGGGGGCTAGCCGGCTGCTGGGAACAGAGAAGAGAGACAGGGGGGGTTTTAGGATTGATTAGCGTGAGAGGCTCCATTGTGAACAAGTGACCTGGTTCCATCAGCGGAAATGGCCTACAGCAGGTGTGGCCAAACTACGGCCCGGGGGCCAAATGCGGCCCGTGGCCCATTATGAAACGGCCCTCAGCTAATTCCAAAAGTATGATGAAATATGGCCCACAAAAAGAAACTTGTGCTATTGTACTTCTTAAATATATATGTACAAATATATTACACAGTATTCATGTATTAAAAGGCCCACTTTTCAAATAAATTCAGTCAAACATTAGAAACATTTTCAATCAAATCTTAGTTGATAAAAAAAAAAAAAAAAGCTCAATGACTTAATTACGCTATTTTGAGCTGCCAACAAAATAAATGAAACCCTCTGGAGAGCTGTGATGTAGGCTGTTGTGTTTCTTACAGCATTTTCACGTATAAAGCATAATTGACCTACATTAGATTGATTTTGCTAACTTAGAACTGAACTGACAATGCAATATACCTCACCTTTAGTGAGTGGCCCAGCCCTTCCTATATTTTTCTGTATGTGGCCCTCAGTGAAACATACAGTTGGACATCCCTGGCCTACAGGATGAAGTTCTCTAAAGTCCAACGCGCTCTGCTCAGGAATTGATCACATGTGCCGTTGACACTGGAAAAGCAACCCAGATATGAAGCCAACAGCAATGTGAAACTAATGTGCCTCTGATGTATAATTCATCACTTTGAACAAAGACTAGTGGTGAATGGTGAGCAGTACCACAACATCTACCCCCCCCCCCCACAGCCTCATATAATTCAACCACCGTCCTGCTTTTGTTTGTTTCAGCCCTGCGGTGCTTACATCAAACAATGCTGCCGTGTTCCTCTCATGGTACACTGAACATACTGAACATAC